CTGCGTACCAGACCCGAACCAAAAGAGTACACAAGCATGGTAGTGCAAGCGAGATTCTCTGTTAAACAGAGTCCGTTTACGGAGCAGCCTCCCGACTACTCCGTACCCTGGCACGCACGAGTCTTTCTCCAAATCCTACTTACCAGGCAAAGACTGAATTTATCTGTTACAAATATACAGATGTAAAACAAGATATAAAAATGAATAAAACAAAAACATGTAAAAAGTAACATTAATAAAATGTCCATTAACGATGCATTTAGAATAAATTGTCTTGTGGTTAAGTGAAAAAATATACATTTTTCCGTTTCATGTTTCATGACTGTCATATTTATCCCTTAACTTTAAACTGAAGCATCGGATATTTTTATTCCCGTGAAATCATGTATGTAGGTACACGCAATATGAATGGAATATATAACACTTCATTTGTGCTAATAATACTCAGAATTCATGCTTTAGCGGTAACGTCGGGTATTGACACTAAAATGGTAAAGGGCTTCTGACGCCTTCGAAGCATGGGACAGAAAATTACATTGCATGTTAGGTCTATTCATATATCTCGTCTGTGCCGGGACGTAACAGTGCCCATCACTAGTGCAAACTTTGCTTCCGCTAGGGGAAAAAGTGGTGTAGAAGAAAAGTCTCCTACCACTTGGTATTGGGAATTATTGAAATTTATGCCAAATTAACATTCGATTTAACATTTATGTCAGTAGTTGAAATAAATTTATGAAGTGGCGTGAGGCCCTTCCCTTTCTCCACTTTTTCCCCTAGCGGAAACCGAGTTTGCTCGTGGGGGTACACCCACGTGGGGGTACACCCCCGAAGACTTGAAGCTTGCCGCTGACTAGACGGCTGGTGAGAATAGGCCTTAAGCCGCCGGCAACCGACCCTCGGGTTACAATGTAACACACGGAACGAATCACTCATCGATAAAAATTTAAATTTTTACTCCTTTCAGTATACTTTCTTAAAAATGTTATGAATAAATGTAGGAGATTCTCTTAATGAAAATAAGTCCAAACACGATATAAATCGGACTATATTTAACACGTTGACTGCCACAGTGAAACAAACCATATGTATCCAGACAGACTTGATTTCGTTTTTTAGTTAATAGATTTAGTGAATAGAGGCTGTTTGTCTTATTTAAAATTATACCGCGATATTAATTGTACACAAAAATTTTGTAACAGTATTTAAATAACTCAGCCTCTTTGTAATGTTTCAAGTACGAGTTATCTGGTACTTGGCAGTCAACGTGTTAATAACATAGAATTCGTATCGCGACATAACGTCTGAGAAAACATTTAAACTTTTACTCCTTTCAGTGTACGAAGCCGAGTCCAGTGGGAAAAGAAGCTTTCTCTCTGTTTTTCACTGGCTTGTCCTTTTATACGTTCGGAATACTACAAAGGCGAGTTGCCGAGGCTCCAGCTTCGGGCAAAAAACGTATTCACGAGGGTCAGAAGCGTTTCGCGTGGTCCACGATTATAGTCCCTGCGCGGACCCGAGTTCGGGACAATAATCTCGACACTCCTGTATAATTATTTGGAAAATATATACTATAATTTATTTGTAAATAATAAATACAGCGAACAGTTAATACAGTCTACAGTGGCTATTCTTCTATTAATCCGTCGCTTCTTTAATTTCTCAAAAGATAACGTTGCAAGACAGTGGAAACTTTTGTAACAATTTGTTCAGTTTTTCAATTCGGTAACTCAACGGAAAAGAGAAAGATTTGTTTTCGAGAGTTCAATGAATTTACAATTTTATCGAAATTGGCATCGGACACTTATGTATGTCCTCGTTACCCGTTCCTGGAAACAAAATTTATTTTTCGAAGTAGTTCCCCATTCATTTTGGTAAAAAATATGACGCATCATTTTCACATTTTATTTGAAGCATTACACTTATTGGTTGGAAATCAGAGATACGCTTTCAATTATGTTTGAAATTGTATATTCCCCAAGAAACTAGTATCAAAATACGATGCCTGCTCTTCCGTCATCAGGGATGTGCTCATAGGTTGTGTAATCGATACACGAAGTTCAAAGCGTTACTTGCAATCATTCAAAGAAGTCTCCGCACACCTTATTAAAGTACATATACAGGTGTACAATTACAACGCACAAAGTGATAAATAAATCATATCAATATTATTTTATATGTATAAGAACATGGTATTTATTGTTCGTGTGATAAAAGCAGTGCATATTGGAATAATTGAACTATACTAAAAGAAGTAACATAATAAAAATAAGATGAAAAGAGTCAGTGAACACGAGATATTACTGAAATGATTCAATCTTTTCGATGCTGTCGCCGCATGCAGTGGCATGCACATACATACGTACGACGTACACAAGGGTAGCTCTCATTTATTCTTAATGAGGATATTTTTCAAGATCTCTTACGCACCACCCCCAAAATAGTTCTAATTTATGGGTCATTCCACGCGGAATCGGACACCTTTTGGAGCACCATTTCGGATTTTTTCCAACTTGGATATATTGTAGTCTTTATCCATATATAAATGTATCTCGAAGAATTTTTGAAGATTTAAAAAATTGTAGATGTTACTGCTGTTTGAAATTTAGGGTCAACCTTTTTTCAATAAATCATAACCATTGAACTAACAAACTCATCAAAATGAGATTTGCGGGTACGTACAGTGGAGACATAAGAGTACCAAATAAAAATTATTTCAGTTTAAAAAAAGATATTTTTTAACCATTTATTTTGCAATTGTTTTAAATAAATGCCCTGTTTTTATACTGTCGAACTATATAAAAATTTGAAAGAAATACGAATATAGCCCTATTTGTTCTCTTTATGGGCATCTCTTCAAAAATATAGACACTTTAAAATTGGCCGTATGAAAATTAATTGAAGTGAACGCAGCGTCGATTCACACTGGGTCTTTTAAACAATTTTAAAAAGCCTGTAGAAATTGTAAAATTATTTTAATTTTGAAACCTGAAATATACCTTGAATATCCTTGATTATTTTTTATCCTATATAGAAACTACAAGAATGTGTATTTTGTATTTTGAAGGCTGAAGGACTATTATTTTAAAATGGCCCAAAAGCAAGGAGGACTAAAGTAAATTCATTTTAGCGGCAGGAAAGTGTCATAAAAATATCAGTGAATTTACGCGAATAGGTGTCTGAATGACGCTCAACTCATACGAAAATTGCTTTTGTATTACCATTTGCTTTGCTCTGTTTGCAAACTGAGAAACGAATGTAAGTACTTCCTTCCGAAGTCCGTCTTTATTTGTTCAGCTGCTCTTCTAAAACTAGTTTCTACTGAAAAATCACTAATGCGAAGTACTTGTGTTAACATAACATAATCGATAATACAGATAACGTAATCTTACACAAAAAAAATGAACTTCTTTTCCATTATTTTTGTGACGAAAATACATATAATGTATAAGAAATCAATACTTTCAGAGGAAATATAATAATTGTCCACCTTACGTTATTCTACTTTTCTTGTCATATTGTAAAATCAAAAACTGCGAAAATTAATTATTTCAATGAGAATCTCTGAAGTGTTTGAAGAGAATTATCATGTTCACTGAATTTAATGATATATTTTATATTTCTGTTTTATTTTATTTCCAAAGTAGTTATTTGGAGTCATTGTTGTATGTTGGAGCAAACGTTCGCATTGTATTTATTGGTCGCATAAAAATATACGAGACGTAAGTATTATATATAAAGAAATATGTGATAAGAAACTTTTATGCTAAACGATATACGTTATGATCTTATACGATCTAGAAAACATATACAATTTGAAATACAATTGTGTATAAAAATATCAATCCATTTCTTACCTATGACATATTTTAAATATTTAATTAATGTTAAAATCAGAATTAATAATTATAATTTATGTTAGTGTAAACCCAAATTAACATATTTAAACGAGGATGCATTCAATAGAGAAATTATGCTACTTTATTTAAGAAAGAAGTATTATTTGTGGGTGCAGTAGAAAAACGTATACACTGAATCTCACAAAAGAACTCTCACAAATTCTTTGAAGAAACAATTTCAAAAGTGGGAAGTACGAGTATTTATAAGGAATAAATCACACGTACCCAAGTGACAAAAAAGGAAGACGGGTGCGTATGGGTCAATTTTCGTGAAACCCGCCAAATTTTAGAACCTATGTTGATTAAACATGTTTTCCACGTCTTGGTGAATAGATACTATAAGCCCCCAAAGTCAAAGCCCCCCTTTTTTTACCTCTCTGTATCTAAGCACTACAGATTTGCAATAAAAGAAGGTATTTATTGCTGGGAGACATTCTGTTTTGATAACAGCACGTTCGGATAGTAGAACGTTCGAATAATAAAAAATTCGAATATGTTCTACGAAGAAAAAATGAGAGACGAAGCCTACCCTTCCTCCGCCAACACGCAATAATCCACTGCGTGCGTATTAACCGAGTCGTGGTTAAAAATCGTATCTCTTTTCTACCTCGGTAGCCCGGCTGGCCTCCCTCTTTTTTTCCTTTTTCCAGCATGGTGTATCGGCGGAGAACGAGATCTACAGCATCGGATATATGCATATTGCATAGTTCACTAACAGGACTGTTAGTGACGGTGTGAATAGGGGTATATTCGGTGTAGGTGTGCTATGGGGGTTGTGACGCCTGCGCGGACTGAAATATATAAGGACGCGGGCACGTTCTGAAAGGGTATTCTAATTTGGAGAACGCAACCAAGAGGATACCGTGAAGTTTTCGCCGAAATGAGCCTGACCAGAAGCTACCTCGTGATTATTCTACTTTACGTCGCTATTGTCAATCATATTCATCTACCACTAGTAAGTGTCTCATACTTCGCTTTCTGTTGTACCACTTTTTACGTTTTAACATATCGGCTCAGTGTAAAAGCTTTGATCGGTTTTGCCCTAAAATGATAGACTAACAATAAATTTCATTACGATCTAATGGTAATTTAATGGAATACCTACACAATGATACGATTCTTTTATAACACACGTATTTTTAATGGAAATTTTTATTCTGAGAAACAAATATTTAGAATATTACTATCCAGTGATTTTATACAAGTAAATTATATTAATAAATTAATAGTTTACCATAGTATGGGATTGACATAACAGCTTCCTCAAACAGATCGCAAATGTTTTCTGCGATGTTGGTAATCTGTACTCCTTTTTTTTTTAATTTCTTTTCAGAAGTTCAATTTCAATCTTATCTCGAATAATAAAGCACACTCAGTCGCATCAGTTTTTATTCTAAACAATTCACTGTGTTACATTTCTAGAAAATCCATCGAAACTTTTGCACTGGCTCAACACATACTGTTATTGCAGCATTTTAACATTGTATACCACAATTATTCATATGTTTTAACATTTTACCAAGTTTGGAACAAGTTTACTGCAAAGAATTTAGACGCTTTCAAATATTTCAGCTAACCCTTTAATATTTTGCGGACCGTACTTTTGTTGTGTACAATGTTAGTAATGTGTGGTGTTAGTATACACACTGTCTGCTGAATGAATGTTTACCCTTATTCATTATGAACCATGAAAACGTATAACGTTTTATTCTTGATAGCTTATAATTTTACCATTTTTGTCTCCTTTATGTTACATTAACTTTTATAAGTGAGTAATGTAATTGTATAACAATTATTTTCGAACGTTTAGTAACGAAATCATTTTACGGAGTGTATAAAACGAGTTCGTATGAGTAATACAGAGACCGAAATTGTTTGACATATTTTAATTTTCAGGATATAAAGTATTACATACATATATTTACTATTTGCATATGCTATTTGTGTAAATATAAACAGTAAAATTTTTAATGAAACATTTTAGAGGTTTTTATTGAAAAAAAAATTGGAATTTGTAGTGGTCTTTTCACAAAAATATTGTAGACTACTATTCCGATGCCTTTATTTTTTATATTGTATGAAGTATACATTGAAATATTTTGTGAAATATGTCAATGGTGAGTAGCATATAGTGTTGGATTGACAGTTTTTAACACTATGAGATGTCTCGAATTTTTTTACATAGTCTTTTTGTATAATTTTGTGTACATTCAAAGTTAATATTATACAGTTTGAGCATCGACTGTACGTATATTTTATATAATTTCCGGAAAAAATTTAATGCTACTACATAAAATCATTCATCGCCTTTACGCTGTATTGAATTATGAACATGATTGGCTGCAATTATAAACTAACCACGATTTATTACAATATTTTTTAAACGAAGTTGTTGAAAAGTATTATAATTGTATATAAATTTATATTTAATACATTTTTGTAAATTATAGATTACTTTTCCAAAGGCTAGAGTAAAACAGAATTAGTTTCATCGTTTAAAAGCTTCAATCAGTTACAAGTAAAATTAAATATAAAAATATATAATTAATTATTTAATTATGCAAATAATTAATCTTTTAAAATTATTATCCATAATCTATATTGATACGCGGGCGTAACAGAATTTTACACTTTATGCGGTCACAGACAAGAAACAATTTAATGTCTATATATCTACTGTTACAAAATTATGTTACTTTACGCTGACTCTAAACTATTCTAATACTAGTATGATTTGTGTTATTCATTAAATTACGAAGTGAAATTGTTCGTAAGAAATGTTGAATACCTACTTAATTGTAATTATTACGGCAGGTATTACTTATTTAATAAGAAAACGATTTAGTTTGAACGTTATATGAATACATTTTCATTTTTTCATTAAAGATTATCATTTTGGATAGTTGGATTTTTGAATAACGATTCTCTTAACGAAAAAGTTTAAAGATCTCAGTGCATAGTCGTTTGATTATTAAACCTTTAAAAAACGCTTCGATTTCCGAAGCAAAGGGAATCACTCGATAAAGTGGATTAAAGCACCAGAAGGAGACACACTGAACCGTACATTTCACTATTAATTACACCTCGCGATTAAAAATTGACAGTTCTATTTCATCTCGATTGTACCAAAAATCATTTAATACCAAAGATTTCACGTGTTACTAGATGTGTGTGTGCGTGAAATGTTAAAAATCACTATTAAGGGGCTAATTTCTTTTGGACTTTGCACGATTGCATTAAAAGTTCCTTAAATGTACCCAAATTAAAGATACGAGACATATATCTACAAATTAATATTTTATAAAAGTACTTCAAATAAAGAGTTTTGTGTTGTGCAAAATTTAATCTTGTATCTGCACAGCTCATATCTTTACCTTAAGGAATTGTAAATTCATTGATTACTTGGCATATACCATATAACAACGTATAATTAGTGGACTTGTTAGTTAATTAATCAGTTTCCTGAAATAGCTTTAGGAATTTGGATTATCCACTTCGTTATAGTAATTGACTAAAACTCAGTGTTTTCGGACAAAGTATTTAATTGTCTGGCAATTTATATATAAAAATTACAAATAAACAAAAGTGAATGTGGATCTATATGAAGAAGAAAGCGAAATCGAAATGGACTTTTTATATATTTTTACTATGTATTATGCTTAGTTACTCTGCGATATTGCATAAATAGATATAAAAGAATAGTTATACAATGGACAACTGTTGTTGGGAATTGCATAAGAATAATTAAATTACAGTGATATGCGACAGTTTCTGGTTAGATAGTTCTCTCAGTTTGCTTCTCGAAGAGGAATTAAAGAATTTTAATTAGTATCAGGTACGATGACATGAGAAGGACAGAGATATAGCATGCTCAGAAATTCCAGCTACATCATATGTCTAACAACAAGAAAACTATATTTTTATGTAAAAAGCTACACTACTTTACAATGTAAAATATTTAACGAGTTTCACATTGTTTTATGTTTATAGAGGAATATTCTATACTTCTCTTATAAAAAGGTTATTCCGTTTCATTTCAGTGTCAAAACTTCTGCCATCTATGTTTAATTTTTCATGAAAGATTACATTTTTCGATACGACCATTGTTGAATTATTCGATTCGCGTAGAAGGTTTATCATGCTTGCAAGTCACAATCAAAAACGAAGTTCTATAATTTTTTAATAATTTCGATTAATCAAAACAGTCGGTAATTGATTTTATATAATACTTCTTTTGAAATAGAATAAAATAAGTAAAGTACAATTTTAAAGAGACTACATAAATAAAGAATGAAATTTTTAGAGTTCATCCTTTAGATTTTCGATAGACGCCTTTGACGAAAGCCACACAACTCGACGAATCTTTGTAAACAGCCTACTTCGTAATATGTTTCGAATTATTATTTGTAAAAGCAAAACTTACCTAAAATATCACTTCACACTCGATATCATACGTAAGCACTAGGATACTCATCGAATATGAAGTAGTCACAACGTTTGTTGCTTCAACGCTCCTAATACCTGAGACTTGAGGGGGTATTCTAGTCTAGACTTTTCAAAAAATCGATCTTTTTGTTACCTTCTCTGAAAGTACGTGTTTTCAAAAGTATATCAACAAAAGGATTTGTCCGAATTTGTACAATTCGTGAAGTTATACATATTTCAAAAACGGCACACAGCCCGCAGCGTGTAAAGCCGCGTACTCACCAAGCCAACGAGCACGAGTGAGAATGCTCGCTCGTTCCTGTTCGCTCGTGCTCGCTCGCTTGGTGAGTACGCGGCTTAAGGGGTCATGCTCAGTCAGGAGGCCGAAAAAAGAGTGTTCTTTGGGAATTTTTTTCTCAAAAACTATAAGACCTTTTACAAAAAATGTGTTTGTGTTTCAAAAATTGCAGTTTCTAGATTATAAGGTAATTTCTTTATTTATAAATACTTATTAGTAAATAAATGGTGAGCGATCTCCCGGATGTCTCTTCACAAAAAGTGATCTGCCGTGATCACTGTAACTTCGTAACGGTTCATGTGAAATTAAAAATTCAGTAAGATTTATGTAATGGAAGAACCAATCTTGTCCTTGAACGTGAGATTTTTTGAAATATTGATTAGGAACAAAATGGCGGACATTTTCCTAGAAAAGTGCGATTTTCACCTAAAAATCACTCGTTTTTGGTCAATTAAAAAAGAAAGTATGGAACGAAAAAAAAATTCTTCGTTCAAGGACAAGTTTTTCTGATTTGAAGTAAGGCGCGAGAGGTTCCATATAAATCGACACCGTAGTTTTCGAGAAATATTGATCACCGATTTAAAAAATGTAGTTTCGAGAAAAACACGTTTAAAGTTTCAAGTCAAGCTTACACTTATATAAAATGTTCATTTTTTAACGCCTGTAACTCTGTCATTTTTAATCGGATTACATTGAAACTTGCACAGAATATTCTCGAGATGTTGTACTTCAAGAAATTGTAGAAAGTGAAAAATCGATTTTTTGGACATTTCTGATTGAGTATGACTCCTTAACAGCCAGTTCAGACTGTTTTCGCACGAACTCACGGTGAGACTGTGTGGTCAACGGAGGTCGTAAATCTCCGCTACGATTGTTATCGCCACCGAAATTATGCGATTCCCTAATACGAATTAACGTAATAAGGATAGTAGATTTGATAACTATAGAACTATTGATACAACTTCAGTGAATCCTCGATGAGTGTTCGAAGGCTCTTCAGCACTGGCAAGGAGAGATTATTCAGGTGTAACGCTGACGTTTTAATGAGGTTTAGCTCAGTGATAGTGTTTGAAATTCTGAAGCCAATATTTGTTTCACCCGCATATGGCCATCAGTTTATGAAATATTTAATGTTCAGTGCCGAGGTGCCTTCGAACACTCATCGAGGCTTTACTGTACTGACAGATGAATTAGGTGACGAAGTATAATACGCGATACAGATTATGCGGTTA